ATGAAACTCCTGCAACGTAACTGTTATTTTTGAAATACATTTCAGCTTTCAATATCATATTTGTATATTGATTGCTGTGAGTGAATTGTATGTATTCCGAACTTTATCTCCCAATTCCATGGTCTTAGTTCTTTTCCATTACCGTTTAAATTTGCGCGACCTTGAGTATCACGATAAAATTTGTACCAGTTCGAAGGTTGCAGCTCATTGTAAAACATGTCTTATATGCAAAGCATCATAGAAATTCATTCTTTCCAATGTTTCATGAGTGTTTATTCAGCTGAGCACACGTATTCTAAGTAGCTTATCTTTTTCATGCAATACACAGTAAATAAGCCAGTTATTGGAGATATTCTAGCTCAACTGAATTGATACATTATTTGGGTACCAACTACTCACACATTATCGCTAATCCTGGAAGAGCTAAAATATAATCCAGGAAACATAAAAGTTGACCTTGCGGTATGCAGCTTATTGAACAAGCGTTTTCTAGTCTCGTCATGCCCAAACCGGATGAAACATGATCTATAGTTGAAGCCGAAAAGCAACTTAGTGGAAGGGCACATAAATCCGATGACTCAGTTCCTGACTGGCGCAAGTGCTTTCAAGTAAACATAAGACTAATTTATTGCGCAATCAACGGAATTTCTCCATCAAGACAAACCAAGAGAGAGAAAATGGAAAGCACATCGAAGTAAAACGATGGTTAACTTTGATCGCAAGAGAGGAAAGCTGCTCACAACCGATATGGGGTATGGGCAGAATATTTTAGTGAACTGACCTGGTACCAGTGCAGTTATTCCGGCGATTGCATCGGAAACTCCATGGGCCTTCAACAAAACTAGAAGTAGGGTGCTGTAGTGGGATCTGATGGGATTTTCCTACTTTTCAGCTGGATGGTAACTCTCTCTCGTCGACTAGTTTACTCCACAGCCTTTGGTGGGAAGATTTTAATGCAAATTACTAGTTTTTCCGATCACGCCATGAATGCGCAAACCAGCACGGGATGAGTTTAGTTTTGTTTATCCTACCGTTGACCTCCTGGTGCACGCCCAAAATTTCTCGAACAATGTAAATCGAAGTTGGTTTCATCAGTCCATATAATCTCATCATGGTGGTAACCGCATCGATCATTGCTGTGCTGTGTGAACATCCAGTGCTCCGATCTAACAACTGTAGTGACGCAACACCTAATCTGTATGAAAAGAATGAACCGAAATCTACAAAAACAATTAAGTGTTTGTGGTCCCAACAATAGTCTATTGAATTCTTATTAGGCACCTGTATTGTAGTAGCTATAAGAAAGAGGAACATTGGCAATTTAAAGTACTTGTTCGAAATACGATAATAATTGGTGGATTAGCTTACTTACCTGATAATAATGCCCTGTGAATTACCGCTTGACAGTTACATCTATTTTCCGTGCTGCGGACTGTAAGGATAGTATACTACGGTCGTACGACGATCGTGATGATTGGTTTATTGTCGCTGCATCACTTGGTTTGAAGAAAAAGACAGCAATGACATGGATAAGAAGACATCAGGAAATAAGGTCACCAATTTGAGCGATCGTTTTCCAGTTATCGCATTTTAATACCAATTGGTTGTTTTGATAATTTAACCCCTAAGTGAGCTAAAACCTTCTGTTCCAATTTTTTCGATTCGAAATAAAATGATTTTAGGTAGTCAAATTTCATTCCGTATACTAGCCGAATATAGGAATGACAACTTGAATTTCAAGCAGTAAATCACAGAGGGTGCTCCACGAATATTTCCCCCACTGTAGCTGCTTTAGTTCTGTTATGTTACAGTTAACTTATTCCATTATAAGTAATTTCGAATCATTCAAAAGCAAACTTGCCTTATCCCTGAAAAATACAAAACAATGTATCGTTTTGCGCATCGAAACGTCTAATTAACACAGTGTTTAGGTTCTCTTAGTTGGTCGAAATAACATCCCTATTAATGCGGGATTCCCTAACACCTAACTCACCTTTGTAAACTACTTTCCAAAGTGTCCATCCACTTGGTTCATTCCTTTTAGGGTGTTTGTGCGAAAACCCTGGTCCTTAACAACTTAACTGTCTAAGTAGATCTGGGCGTCTTGGGTACAATTCAGAAGAGTTTGCCTGATCTGTGTTTGGTTTGACCGTGTGTATGATATAATTGAGCATTCGGAACACAACGATATTCGTGCCTTCGGCCCCTCTCAACCCACAGACTTGCTTGTTCACTTCCGTTTTTGTGTATACTGTTCTAACCAGTTAGGCTTTCACATGATCGAAATCACAATCAGAACACTCAGGTTCACGGGTCACTGTGTTTGGGAGGGAGGGGGGTTTGTACCGGTCTCGGCGCACATTCGGGTTCGCAAGTTTCGATACATGGTTTTCCCTCGCGTGTCCTCATTGTTTCTTATCTTATTGGCACTTCTCACTCCACATTTTAACATTGAGAAACTCAGGAGTGTGTCTGTGTGCTGGTGTCTCTCCTCCATGTACCGTCACCACCCCTCCTTTCTGTTGAATTTTTCAGTGATGTACTACGTTCAATATTCAACTGACGTCCTTGTGATTTGTTTTGCCTTTTGTTCTGATCGTAGTCATTACAATTTATGCTTCCAATACAGTATACCATCCACGTCAGGTTTATCTGAGCTCAGATACATGCTCATTTCACTTTGCATTTCCAGCTGATACTTTTTTCTCGCAAAAACGAATGTTTCTTATGTTTTCAGAGCCTCATTCAATTGTTGCACTAATTGTACTGCCCGCGAAAGTCTGATTTCGTAAAACCGTATATTGAGGCCGCTTCCCTCTGCCGAATGATTCCACACAGTTGGTTCTACAGANCCTGGGAATTGCTTGTCTGGTTGTCCCATCATGCTAGTGAGGTACTACTCACTTCTACGACACTTTTCGGACTGTTCCATCAACTATCCTGCTTCCTTATGGAAATTATGAATAACCAGATGAGACTTTTTGTTCCATGTAGTCCGGTTTATCGATACTTTTATCGTGGTTCCTAATAAAAAGCTCGTCCTGGAATTTTTGGATTTATAACACTGGTACAATGCAATCAGTACATCAGTGTCCTAAAACCGGGAATCCAACAACACCTCGGATTCTGCACCATATCGCAGGTTTAGTGGAACAACCTAGTTATCTGCACTAGATTCCTAATCGATTGTCGGAGCATTGTTAATGGTCTCGACGAGTGATCGCCATTGTCTCTAAAAAAATTGAAAGTATGTTAGCTAAATCCAATCTTCCCAGAAGTTCCAGAAATAGATGTATGAGAGATAAACCGCCAAGTTCCTCAACCTTACTCTTTGAACCTGGATGGAAATGTACAGTGAATGCATAGATCAAGAATGTTTCCACTCACAGACCTCGAAAAGACCCAGGTTACAGACATTTTCTATCGAACAAACACCATATTGAAGTAAATCTCGTTTTCTTAACACTGGTCATGCATTTTTTTGGAAATGTAATGGTCGTATCGATTGAAAATGAATTCATTTTCTAAATGGTTGATTGAACGCCTAACTCGTTTGACGTTAGTTGCACCTGCTTATGCAATATCGTGTCTATGCGACTTCTGTCTTACTCCACATCTCAGCGCCAAAGTAGCCAACTTGGTACATTAACCTGTAATGCAAGATCTTTTCATTCTATTGTCGTGTGCAGTTCCAGTCATTTTTAACACGATCTTCTCTATGAAAAATCGATAAATGTCTTTCATTTTGCCGAATGTTATGGTTTATTTATACTCGTGTCCTCATTGTAGCGAAATGGGCAATGTGACGGAAACCACGGGTCGTTCCTTACCTTATCCTCGGGCGACGGATTCGGTAGACAATCGAAAAACCGGCAATTCTTTTACCATACGTCTTACGAACACCCTTGCAACTTCGGTTCATAACCAAAAATCACCCACTTCGCCGACCACTGCTTCTTCCGCTCCACCTGTTCGCATCCCAATTGTTGGTCCTCCCACATCCCTCGATACGGCATTCAACAATCGTCAACGAAGGTCACAAACAAGATCGCAAAAGAAAATTTGCAAACGGGATGAAGATGATTCTGTGTTTCGAATGGATCAATGATTCACCTCACTGATGACTCGACCACTCACTCATCCGTCACGCCTTCCGTTCTCCTTTTCCCGTCACTCTTCCTCTATTTGCGCCAGTTTTCATCCACTCCAGTCGATCGCAGGCATCCATCTGCACATGGATCCACTTTTGCTGTCCGTCTACAAACACATTTGCCTCGTTTTGACTCGTTTGACTCGTTTTCTGTATTATGCGAGAAAAGCACGCATTAAAAATATCTCTGGTTTTTT